AAAGCGATCCCGAGATGGAGTTTTACATGTAAAATCCAATCATCCTAGGGGCGCCTTTGAAGCTCAGGAGAGGTGTATTGAACACCCCGAGTCATAATTGATTGTAAAATGACTATACTGGGATTCGAACCTGCGGCCACCAGGTCGCAGAGAAAGAAAATTAGTAGGGAAATTCGAGGAGTGGTAAGGTTTTATGATCGTATGAAAATGCTGAGTGACACGAGGTGAAGTTTGTGATGCGTTGAATCTCGTCTGAGCTCTACTTATGGACAAGCGATTCGGAAAATTACGAGATCCTTTATCGAGAAAATTTGTATTTTGAGAATATTATTCTCCTTTGGTGGTTCGTTTTTTTTCTCCAAATTATTTCTCTTTGTGTCGATTTGTTGGTATTTTTGCCGATTTCTTGTTTTTTTACGATTTTTCCCCCGATTTCTTGATATTTTTTGCTGTTTTTGGATATTTTTCTCGCTTTGATTTAGGCGGACTATTTTGAAAAGACTACGGATGTGAGTCAGATGAAGCCGAAGGAGGCGATAGCTTACCACTTGAGGAACCTCAAAAAGGAAAATAAGGAGAATAACTTGAAAGGATTGATGGTGAGTTGGGGTGCGTCACTGCGCCACAAAATTAATGGAAATTGAACAGTTATGCATATCTAGATTTTCTACAAAATAAAGAGTACGGTTGTAGACTACGTATTAGTTGCAAAACGTGGGTGTCAATTGATTCACATCGTTATCAAAGTTGACTTTCGAACTCTAAGAATTTGAAGACGTTGAAAATATTACTTTGCATAACGGTTTGCTTCACACTATATTAGGGAGTTGTTTGACGTGAGATGCGCTTGAGAGCTGCTATGGGGCAGGGGTTTTCAGTTCTGATGATTCCTGTAGTAATGGGTTGCTGAATTTGGTAGTAGGCCGTCGAGACGAAAGAAAGGATATCTGATTGTTTGTGATGGTCGCGGGTTCGATTCTCGGCATGGGCTTTTTTATAATCTCGGCATGTATTAGTATGTATATGCTCGGCTCGCTTCGTTCGCTCTGTTGCAATTAGCATCGTCGTGATGATGAACATAGTTATTTGGTCTTAGACGTGTTTGAAGACCCTACGAGTGTATTTACAGAATGCCCACGACCATCCGACTGAGAAAAAATACCACAAAATCAAGTAAGGCAGAGGTGGCTGATTTTCAGGGCGAGCGAAAATTGTTTCCATAGTGTTGCTATCGATCTCGACGGTGTATGTTTTGTATCGTGTCGTGGTCTTTCTGCTGGAGGGCGTGAGATAAGGTGTGGGAAAATATGTATGTGGGCAATCGCACGTGTTGGTTGAATAGAGTACGTTAATAACGTGCTTTATAATTGATAAGAACGTCATCCACTGTTAAAATATTTTTGTATAAAGTACGGAAACTGCGAGAAAATTTAGAGAAATTTTCGCTGGTTTTTGTAAACTTTTTGTGAATTTTGGGAATTGCTGAGATCAGCAACTGGTGGAAGCAAATATATTATTTTTTGTCTTCAGCAAATCGAATAAGGCATTTGTGGAGAGAGTGTCTTCGTTTAAGGAGGCGATAGAAATTCTGGAGCAATGCGGTTTTACGGATACTGGTGGGTTTAGGGTGTCGGGTTGGAGGGTTTAGGGGTAGTTTTGGGGTACAAATTTCGGGGGGTTGGTGTTGGCATACTACTACGATTAAGTCGTAGTATCATGTTGGTAATATATAAAGCGCCCAAGGGCGACGCGATACAGGATGAGTCGTTTGTTGGGAGTTTTGTCGCGGAGGAGGTATGTGTAGAGGATGTTGCTGTTGTTCGACGAGGCGTTGCAATTTAATGTTATGATTTATGGTTGCATACCACTCCATCGGCTCATCGTGTGGTGATAGGAGGATAATCTTGTAGGATGTATCGAGCATCAGGTGCTTCATTGGAGATCACCAACTCGGTGGCTGACACGTGGCTGTGCGCCCAAGCGGTGAAGTTCATTGATGTTACGATGCAACAGTTGCAATGAGGATCTCCCGACAGTTTCAGAGGAGACGACATGTGTTTAGTTTAGTTATGAACTGGTTCATGACCGTTTGGTGGTTTTCAGTTCTTCACAGTGTGTTCGACGGGCTGCTGTTTTCTTAATGAGCCGTAATGGCGGTGGCTATGTTATGAGGGGCGACAGTGGGGGAGGAGGGGGAGGGTCTCGGTATGTTGAGGTTCCGTATAGTCGTAGTGACAGGTTGAGAAAAATGGAAGGTGTGGGGATCGAACCCGAGACCTATCCTGTGAGGAGAGTGAGCGAGGCCGCGAACTATGAGGCTGAGTCTCCTGTGGAATTGTTTGATATTGACGCGCAGTTGGAACGGTCGCTGGAGGAGATACGTGATGTGAAGAATTTGCTGAGAATTTTGTTGTCTAAAGTTGATGACCTCGGTCGCACTACGGCTGAGAATCTGGACAGGGTACGCGAGGAGAGGGAAAAAGAGGATCGGAAACGGCGGGAATTGCTACTACGTGAAGAAGAGCGTCGAGCGGAAGCCGTTGCTGTTGAGGCGGCGCGGGAACGTCGAGATGACTTGTATGTTGATGATGAGTATAAACGAGGGCAAGCTATGGTGAGGAATGCGGTGCATTTGTCACCAGTTGACAGAGGGGCGGAGTTGAGGAGGGAGGGTGTGAGGAGAGGGAAGGGGACGG